ATGGGACGGGATGGGGAAGGGAACAAGTAGTCCTCGACTTACGACTGCCATGACGGTCGTAAAACATGAGTCATGGGACTGGCCTATTTCTACAGTCTTTTTTGATGAGCAGATCAGTGGTTTGCTGTGGACTCGGGTTTTTGTCAAAAACCTGGAAATGAGTAGCCAGTTTTCAGCCAAACCATTGTAAAACTGTCATGCGGGACTCTGCAAACGGTCGTAAATGCAGTCATGTTGCCGAGCAGCTGAAGTTCAGTCATGGGACCACCAGGGGGCTCCTCACATGCTGAACTGCACATCTGGGTTGTAAATAGCCCCATGGTAGATCCATCATAACTTTGAACAGTTGCCATGTGACCAATCAGAAGTCAAGGACTATCTGTATTCTTTGATATGCCGTCCCTTCTGCAGAAGGCTTCTCAGACTGGCAAGTCCCATGTTCTCTGGCCAAACGTTGCCAAAAACACATCCTTAAGTAGGGATGGAAGTAAATCCCATGTTTTGAAGACTTTACATATGCGAAGGTTGGCCTATGACAGTGATGGTGAACCTTTTCAGCATTGAGTGCCGAAAAGGGAGCAAGCATGCCCTTCGGGGCCACACACCCAGAAGAAGAGCTGTACAGGGGACATGGCGCACACCAGAAAATGAAGTTCTGATTTCTGGCATGCGCACTAGCCAGTTAGTGTTACTGGTGTGCATGCAGCATGACAATCACCTGGCCGGCGCATATGCTCACGTCGAAAAACAAGATGAGCTCTTCCAATTTCCGGCACTGCCGCATGGACAAAGGCTGGCTGATCGCCACGCATGCATGCGCACCAGAAACCCAGAAGAGGAATGGGTGATGCCACACATGCCAGGCGACATGGTGCCACGTGGCACTTCGGGCACCCGTGCCGTAGGTTCGCAGTTGCAGGCCTATGGACTGATAAGGGGTTACACAATTTACATTATTTTTTTATTCTGAAAATGTCTTATTTTTTCCCCCCTTCTTGGGCAGGCTTCCTCTCCCAGGCGGCACTGTAACCCCAGGATTCCTTAGTCTGAAGAACAGAAATGCTGTTTCGAAGAGCTATTTCAGTAGGTTCTTTTTAAGATACAAAAGCTTTGCACTCTTGATTATTATGCAGGATATTTTTGTATTTAAAAGTTTTGTATTTAAGTGTTTAAAAAAGAAAACGCAGCTAGAAAAAATGCTTTCTGCTTGGTTGATTTTAAAATTCATTGCAGTCTACTCACAATGTTGAATCTCAAGCATAGACATTTTCCAAATGAAGCCACAGAAACATTTATCCTCCAAGCTGTGGACTTTATGCTGATTATTAGAGGCTGAAGAATAAAAAATAGCACCTCTGTTAATGTTGGTACAGATCAAGCTTTCCAACAAGCTCCTGGAAGTTTTGATTACAATGACCATTGTCCACAGCTTGACAGTTTGTATATGGGGTATGATGGGGATAGTAGTCCAGCATAGTTAGTATGAGATTGCCAATGGTTGTTTGGTTCATTGAACTGAACAAGACTTAAATTTCAGGGGTCCTTGTCTGGATTATAGCGAAGGTCCAAATGCTTCTTAAGGATGATAAAGATAGCAAATAACACTTGTGGCAAGCTAAGCCATTCTTTGTACACAAACAACACAAATAAAACCTTTTAAAATTCTGCCAGCAGTCGTTTGACAAGTTATTTTGAACCTCTCTTTTAAATCCTTATCATTTCCCACAATAAGCATACAGCATGGTGGTGGATCTGGGTCTCCATCATGGGTGAATTCCAGCCCGGCTGGAGAATTCTGGAAGTTGAAGTCCACATATGTTAAATGTTGTCAAGATTGGGAAACACTGGCCTAGAATGTCTTGGCCTTTGCAAATGTTCTCCTTCTTCATTTACGATGGTTGTTGTGGCCTTTAGCATTCTGATCTTTTCTATCTTTCAAGAATAGGTGGAAAACATGGTATGGCATCACAGCAGATTATCCAATCAAGGACTATCCACGGATCTGTCTTAATAACTAATGACTGAAAAGATTGCAGTTGTAGCCTCCCACAAAGGCGTACCTATTACTTTCTGTGAGTGGGCACGTAAGAAATGGAGGCAGATGAACTGGACTGGCGACGTTGCACAAAATAGACAACTTTTCTTTGCTATTTGTAGATCTCCAGTCCTACATGTCCTGTAGAGCAGCGATCACCAACTGGTGGTCCACATAAAAATATTTGCATTTTTATATTGCACCAAATGCTATTTATCTTTTTTTTTTTTTAAATCATATTAGTGGTCCGCGGGATTTAAAATTATGAATTTAGTGGTCCCTGAGGTCCGAAAGGTTAGTGACCCCTGCTGTAGAGAGTGTAAAGGATTTAGATCCCTGTTTGATTAAAATGGATTTATACAATCTTATACAATAGCAGAGTTGGAAGGGACCTTGGAGGTCGTCTAGTCCAACCCCCTGCCTAGGCAGGAAACCCTGCTTGTTAGATCTGCTTGTTTAATTAAAATGTTCCAATCTCTATTTGAAGACTTTAAAAGTCTTCCAAATTGCTTTTATTTTGAGGGAAATCTAACAGCTGGTGTTTTTTTTAACCTGCCTCTTTTTTAAAAGGATTGAAAGATATAGTAAGTTCTTTCATAAATCAATTTCATGAAGCTGTGTGTCTTTTCTCCCCGAGAGTTGCTATTTTTTTCTTGCGAGTGACTGAATTACACTAAAAGATAAATTATACTTCAACATGGTTCTCTGTGAATTTTTCTGGTTTAAAAATACTGTCTACTCAGTCAAGGGCATGTAAGGAAAATCGGGACGGAAGACAATGATATTTCAAGAACATGCAAATATCCAGAAGAAACATGTTATTTGTTACATAAAGGACCCAAAGTATTGTGGGCAATAGCCTGACCCTGTACTCTGCTTAAGAGAGGGCCATAAAAGTGTGTGTTATGAAAATGAAAATAAAATATGAAGCAAAAAAAGAGGGCCATAAAGCACTGTGAAGTGGTATATAAGTCTAAGTGCTACTGCTACATGGAACACAGACGTCTCCTATGTCCATGGCAGATGAAAGAGTTGGGAAACAAACATCCAGATGTTTCACATTCTTTTACTAGGATGGTGCTTACATTTTCCAAGTGGTGATTTAGAACTCCACAATGGCAGAACATTTTAGAAACACTTAGAAATTAAAATTAACCACAGAAGACACTGCACATCTGCCAACCTGCTGTTTGCTCAGATTCTGCCAGTTCCACCAATGGCTTTCCTGATAGTTGTTTTTTTAAAAACCCACAATTTGAATATTAGGCATATTCAAATTAATTACTAAACAGGTATACCTACTTTTTAATTCAAAGAAGTATTTGACACATAATTCTTTGGTTGGCAGATGGAAACCAATTTTGCTGGCTACTTTTAAGTCAGCAGAACTGTGATTATTAGACATTACAACCTAGGAGTTTCTAAGCAATTTTGGAAGCCGTCAAAGCTGTTCAAATTGTCCATTGTCCTGACAACTCAATAAAGAAATGGCTATGGTATATCTCCATATTTCAGCTTCCTGAGACAAATGGTATTCACACAAAGGATTGAACTTCAAACTGACAGGATTTGTTTGGTTTAGTTTTCATGTTTTCCGATCCTAACCCCAAAATAGAACATAATGGAAACCTATTTGATGTGGAACAAGAAACCAGATTTAATATAAATCATTTGTAAAAATAATAAACGTTGGATATAAAGAAATATGTTTTTTTTTTAATGGGCCAGATCCAGCTGAGTACAGAGCAAGGGCCAACAATGCTGGTTGAGGAATTATGGGAGTGGAAGTCCACAAGTCATAAAAGGGCCATTACTTCCCATCTCTATACCAAAAAAATAATAATCCAGAGGTTTTCTCCAATGCATCCTGATGGGAGAGGAAGTCAATAATTGGCTTTGCATGTTGCTGAGTATTCCATCCAAAAGACACACACCTGATCATATAATCCTGACGCATCTATTAAGGGGGTTGGAAGGGCAAAAAAATGAAATTCACCCAACTGAAATAAGAAGTCAAAATGGTAGATGTAAAGAATTTTGGGTTCAGGTGTTTTGTTCTATACCAAACATCCAATGCTGCAGCTCAAAAATGCACCTTCAGAAATAATATTTGGGGTGAGGAAGAATTATGTCCTTGCTGCAATTTAACAGCTGGTGATAAAACTTTTTGCCAATCTGCTAGAAATCAATAAAGACTCAACCCCTATCAAAGCAAGGTCATGTTAGAAGCTGAGGTTTAATCTAGTGATTTATGTCTGATCCAAAGTAGTAAGCGATTTGGTCCATGGTTTTACAGGAATCTAACACTGACTGACAGGGAAACTTTTACCCCAATTCCTATTTTATTTTTTTAAATAAATACAAACGACGCTTTAAAAAAAATGTGTTCCTTTTTAGGCATTGCACCCCAGTTCTGCCCATTTTTTGGAATTCAGTCTCTGACAGGCTGTTTCAAAGCTGTAGCAGCTTTCAAGCTGACTTAATTGCCCATTTTATGGGCATGTGTGTTTGTTTTGACATTGCAATTCCAGTGGGTCACCCTAACAGTAAAAGAGACATAGATGTAGCTGCCATGAGAGCTACCTTTTGGTTGCTATACTTCTATATCAAAGGCACTGATTCCTAAATTCTTAAGCTCAGTAAATTTAAATTTCTAAAACTAATAAAGCCATTTAAATCAGGGGTGTCCAACCTTGGTCATTTAAAAACCTGTGGACTTCAATTCCCAGAATTCCCCAGCCAGCATGGCTGGCTTGAGAATCCTGGGAGTTGAAGTCCACGGGTCTGAAAGCTGCCAGGGGTTGGATTGCCCCCGATTTAAATCTAAATTAAAAAAAAAAAAAAACTACTAATTTAGAAAGATTTTTTTTTCTCCATCTCCCCCATGTAGCACCCTGTCCAATTGCTAAGACCCTATTCCAAAACCATCAAAAGTCTTTTCAAAGCCCATTTATTGGTAGCGGGGCAAAAAAAAAAATCCCATATGTACAATTTTAAGGCAGTGCCGCCCTTGGGGGAATCAGCGTCGTCTCTTGGCTGTGCTGGGCGGAGCTGGGGCCGTCTGTGTGGCTGCCCGCCTCTTGCTGGTTCTGGTAGAGGGAACAAGGGGGCTGGAAGCAGGAGATGGACCCATATTTCCATCCAGGCGGTGAGCCTCCAAGTCCACCATCTGCTGCAGAATACCCGTCAGGATGAACTCCGCGTTGGTGATGGGGACTCTGGCCTCCTGAGCCGGTTTGCAGCGCGACAGATCCTCAGGGCAGGATACCACAATACGTTTCTCCTGAAATAGGTTGCAAAAAAAGGTCAGATCGTCCTCTTTTCACAGTCGAAGAGTTGAGTCACGCATTTTTGCATGGCCCCAATATACCTCAATTTGCCTGCCTGCTGGAAAACCACTATATGTTCTGACCTAGGCAAATCGCAAAACAGGTTCCTTGTCCTGAAAAAACTCTTTTTATTTGGCTAATGTGAATTCCTAGCATTCACATCCAGCAATGTCCCAGCAGAGAGTCTTTAAAGGGTGCATTGCAACCACAGACCTTATCAGTCCTTGGAGAGCTGCCAGGCTGAGAGCTTCCAAGCGCAATGCTGTACAAGAAAATACCGAAACGAGTGACTTGCAGCCTTTTTTTCACACTACTGTGGCAACAACTCCATGCTCATGGGATCAAAATTTAAATGCTTGGCAACTGTTATATATATATATTATACTTTTATAAATATATATATAGCAGTCACAGGGTCCTGGGGTCACATGGTCCCTTTTGCCATCTTCTAATAAGCAAAGTCAATTGGGGAAGCCAGATTAATAACTGTGTTATTAGCTTAACAACTGCCATGATTCACTTCACAACTGTGGCAAGAAAGGTTGTAGTGAGGCAAAATTCACTTAACTCTCACTTAGAAAGAGAAATATTGGGTTCAATGGTGGGCGTAAGTCGAGGATGACCTGAAATTAAGTTAACCAGGGTCATGGTGAAGTGTTGGACTAGGAATGGGGAGACACAGGTTGCAGCCCTCCTCAGCCATGGAAGTTTCCTGCTAGACTCTGGGCCAGCCACCCTCTCTCAGCCCAACCTATAACTCGATGTGGTAATAAACAAAAAATCAACAAAATAACAGCTCCGACTCACCTTAAAGGCCCGTGGCATTCTTGGTAATAAGGTCCCACCACTGCATTTAACAATGTCTTTCATGTGTTCCGGTTCTGGCTTCACGTTGGGCGTGACATGGATCTCGTAGCCCTGGAGAGAAAGAAACTCTGGGGTACTACCACAAGCAGTCCTCACTTAGCGACCAGTCACATGGCGCCCATTTGACGTGACGACACACCTCACCAAAGGTAGTTAATGCCCTGATTTTGAAGCTCTGATGGCCGTAACACTTTTGTCTCTGGTGGTCATGTGATCATTTTTTGGGAGCCAGGGCTATTTGCAACATCCTACAGTCACATGACCACAATTCTCCCCCCCCCCTTTTTTTTTTTGCTGGTTTCCAGCAAAAAAAACACATTGGATAAATTGGATTTGCTTAATGATCACGGCCCTTGGCTTAACAACCCCATTTACTCATTTGTTTAGCAACTGCCACCATGTACAATCAGGCGTGGACCTGTACGAGGCGCTTAAGGACCACAATGACTTAACCATAATTGCAGTCTCAATTACAGTCATAAATCAAAGACTTCTCACGTTTGCTAGGCATATGGGCCAAAAAAAGAGAAAGGGGCATTGTGTCACACCAGGCTGGCAGCTGATGGGCCTAAAGCCACCCCTGCAGCTTTCATCCAGCCTGGTTCCCTTCCCTTTACAGGTGTGTTGACTCAAATCACATTTCCCACAATCCCAAATACCTGTTCACAAGGGGGGGGGGGTGTTTGTGTGTGTGTGTGTACTTGTGATAATGGAGCTGTTGTTCCATGGGCCTGGAGGCCACTAAACTGGGTTGAAATTGGTTTAGGACAGAGGTGGGGAACGATGTTCCTTTTATGACTCATGGACTTTAACTCCCAGAATTCCTGAGGCAGCCATGGCTGCCTCAGGAATTCTGGGAGTTAAAGTCCATGAGTCATAAAAGGAACATCGTTCCTCACCCCTAGTTTAGAACATGAGAAATTCAAACAGAGATGCTTCTTTTGCACCTGGGCCTTCTGAGCACTAGGAGTGAGGGGAGGATACCTCTCCCCCCTCATGGTAGTCTGGATACTGGATTCTTCAGGAATCACCTGGGCCCAAGACAGCAAGCAATGGGCTCACCTGGAACAGGGCTCCCTTCTGCTGTGCCGTCTGCAGCGAGGTGGAGAGGTTGAACCGCAAATTCTTCTCCTGCTCAGGGTCCCGAACGAGGAAGTTGTTTGGTGCCAGGAAAAAAGCATTCCGTCTGCTCTGTGGGGTGGAAGCAGGAATAAAAGGGAGATCATACATACATACAGGAAGTTCTTCCTTTCCACCCTGGAAGCAGGTTACTGTTCTGACCGAGGCTTCCCAAGTGCATGAAGCAAACTTCTTGTCCCGATTAAAAAACCCTTTTATTAATTGACTGTGAATTCTGCTCATTCACATCCAGCAAAGTCTTTCCAGGGAGGATTTACAGTCATAGACCTTATCCGGCTTGGAGAGCTGACAGCCGAGAAGTCT